AAATATTTTATGGTTACTTTTAAAATTTTGAGAATAATTACTACTACCGCCGCCCACTAAATTCATGTAATAACTTTAACCGTAGTTTATACGGTATTCTATTCGATCAATTTATAATCCTAAAGTTAAAGAATCCTTAAGTGATAAGTTAAAAGAATTTTGCATAATGACGGTCGCATCACAATACATATACGAAAATGTATTACTGGTAAGAAAAAATATTAATTTGTTTCTTAATAAAAACAGTGATGTTCACACACTTAATACAAGAAACAAAAGTAAACTAACTTTACCTGCTACTAGGTTTCACAAAATCAATAGTTCATTTATAGTACAGTCAATCTGTAGGTTGAGTGGTGAAAAAAAAACCTAAAGGGTAAGTCTTGTTTTTTCTGTTGCCAAATGACGTCAGTAAGCCACCTTGGCGATGGGCATGTTCAACTCGTAGGCGTTTTTTGACAAACTCAAAAAAACCGGCAAAAATTTTTTGAAACGCATTTTTCTTGTTTTGTATGCATTTTAGAAACTTTTTTTTTGACCATAATTGTAGAGGGCGTTGAGTACTACAATTTATGCCAATGTTGCAATCTCGTACAACAAAAAATGCGCATTGTAGGTGGCGCTAAAGTCTCAAAAAAAGGGTTTTTTCACTTTTCACCCTGAAAATATAATTTTAATGGAAAACTTTAAATGGCAAAGTTGTTTCGTACATAATTACCAACAACTTTTGTATGAACAATTTTTTTGTATTACATACCGTTTCCAAGTTATAAATTGCGCAGATATGAAAAATCCAATAGAGCGGTTTTGGGCAGTTCACGTACACATTTGCAGTGCATATTTCAATGTACGTTTTTACTATTTATTTTTTCAATCATGAAAAAATATAAAAAATTGTGGTCAAAAAAAAGTTTCTTAAATGCATACAAAAGAAGAAAAATGCGTTTCAAAAAATTTTTGACGGTTTTTTTGAGTTTTTCAAAAAACGCCTACGAGTTGAACATGCCCATCACCAAGGTGGCTTATTGACGTCATTTGGCAACAGAAAAAACAAGACTTACCCTTTAGGTTTTTTTTTCACCACTCAACCTACAGATTGACTGTACTATAAATGAACTATTGATTTCGTGAAACCTAGTAGCAGGTAAAGTTAGTTTACTTTTGTTTCTTGTATTAAGTGTGTGAACATCACTGTTTTTAAGAAACAAATTAATATTTTTTCTTACAAGTAATACATTTTCGTATTAATGTCTGTTTTTCGACAGATTGACTGTACTATTAAAGGTCTTTTGGTTCGGTTATATAATAAAGTCCCAAGCAATGTCCAAGAGTTAACCATAAATAAATTCAAAGATAGTTTAAAAAAAGCACTTGTTAAAAAAGCTTATTACTAAGTAATTGATTATGTTACAGACAAAAATGCTTGGGTTTGAACTGTTCCAATCATTGCAACAGGTTTTCTATATTAAATAAATCATGATTTTAATGACGTTGTAATAATATAATGATTTGTAAATTTCATTACATTATACTTTTGATGTTGTGGAACCTTTTTTCGCACGTTTTTCTCGGCAGCAAGAAAATATGTCCAATAACGAGTGATAGGGAAAAAAAATTCGACGATTCAAAAGAGTTGTACATCCAATTTGAATAAAGATATATTGATTTTCTGATTCTCTAGAAACCAGTTCAGTCCTGATTATTTTAGCTGAATCAATCTGTTACACTTAACTAAACCTTGTATTTATAATTGCAAAAAATGTAATAACTTGTTGCAGTTACCGTTCATCTTCGGTAATTAATAAAGCTACTAATTCTGTAATCGTTTCTCTCGTGAACTGTTCCCGTTTTTCTGCTTCTACAACATTTATCCTCATGCCGTTGCACTCTTCAATATTGCTGTCCTTATCACTGGCGCCCAAACTCGCTTAATCGATTCCCTTTGTTTATTATAATACTTGTTATAATGCACTTCGCCCTGAGCCCATGATCTAGATTGTTACTAATTCGTTTGTCAATTTCGAGATCTGATAGTGATAAACGTTTATATACTTAAATATTGTTATTTACAGCAGGATATGTTTCGCAGGAAAATCGATGATGTGCATAAACTTGGAAGTTTTCTACTATGTTAAAACTTACTTTCATACCCCTCCATTGAAGCTGCATAGCAACTAACGTTTAATATGACCCTTCTTCTTCTATTTGAAGACACTTATTGCCCATGCTTCCTGAACAATAAGAAAATTCTGTTTATAACGATTCTGCTTCGTGAAAGTATACACGCAAAATAAAAATAAAAATTTGATCAGAGATTTCATTTGGATCTGGAAAATGTTCCAACACTTAAATGCTTAGCTCTATGAAATCGGTTGATAGTATCGAAGAAAAGTAACATTGATTAACCTTGACCTTATCATGCAATCTTATGTAATGATAACACAGGACGTGTCTGGTGAAAATTATTATCAATATCATTTTCTTAAGTAGCTAATGTTTATAAATTGATAATATCATTGCCACTTTCACTTTTTGGCAGTCTTTGATGCGATATTTTGTTTTCATGATTTGACCTAAAATATTTTACCTAACATTACAATCATGTCTTTTGAGTCAAATTGAGATTCAATAAACATATTTGTTTCCAGACATATATAAATGATTATATTATATTATATTATATTATTCTTTCAAAGCGAGATCAATAATTAATCTTTTTTGTCAGATCTAAAGTTTCCAAATTTTATTAATAAGATTATGAAGAACAAGGCAAACAAAAATTCTTTAATAAATTGGACGGACTTTTCATTATAAAGATGTACTTATTTTTTCTTATTATTGATGCAACTATCTATGACGACTTAATCCGTATCAAAAAAGAAATAAATGTAATCAGTATTTACAAAGCGTTCACTTATAATAATTGTATTAAGAGATTATTCTCTTGTAAATCACAATTTGCTAAGGTGAATGTATGATTAATGAATTCTATTTGCGACAATACCATTTCTGAAAGCTTAATTGATGAAAAAACAATAATTTTGTTTTTGAATAATTTAAAAATAAAACTTTTTTGGCTTTGCGACAAGTTGAAAAAATTAATAGGATGTATATGGTATGTATTCTAACAAACTTTAAGTAATACTTCTTTCTTCTTTCTTAAGTAACATCATACTCTGGTGATGCGTTTACAAAGCAAATGTTCAATAGGTTAAGTGCACTGTACAATTTCTTTAATAACAAATAAGTTTAATTCTAACTATTAAATTTTAGAATGTTAACTTTCGACGGTCACTTGATATTCCAAAACTTGCTTATCTTTAACTTTGATAAGATTCACGTACCGACCGTACACAACGTTGAGTTTATCAGTTTCAACTATTGTTTATGTGGCAATATCCACTGCATCGAAACCTATCAGTGATTAATATTTATCTATTCCGTGGTAATTAACACGAGTTAAGCATAGTATCTTAATTGACTATCTAAAGTCTACTACTAGTTCGTGAAGTCGTCTAAGAGCTAAGTCGATTGAAGATAGACAAACTAATGTTCAGAATGCAGTTGACGACGCCTTTCCGAATAGCCTATTTGGTTCAAGCGATAACTTGTCGATTGTCTTAATGAGAAATTAATGGAATAAAAATTTTCACATTCACTTGTTTCAGTTCGGTGCGTTGGTTTGGTGTGTTCGTATGTTGTAGTTTAATGTTGTTTTTTGTATTATTACCAAAATCATTGTATCTAATCTGTGAATGATACAAATTTTGTGTTGCAATCATGTGTGTTCCCGGAGTTGAAGGTGTATACAGTCAAGCTGGAACAGATAAACTGCATTCTTTTTGTAAAAGGTACTGAGTGTTACTTAAAAAAGGGGTTTTCTGTGTTGTTGTGTATAAGCTACTTGGACAACTACAAATTATTGAAGTCAAATCAAATCATCTTCATTGCAAATAAGGTTACAAAGTTGTTGTCCAGTAACATTTTAGTACAGTATTTCCGCTTGCATCCGCTTCTGCTTATCTGCTTGCAATATAATATTTCTGTAAATCATTTATTGTTTAGTCTAAACTAATGTCAAACTATATAATTTAAAATACTTATTACAATACCTTCTAGTTTTTAATTATTATTATTAAAAACGTGCAGTTAATACCTCAATCGTGTTCTGTTGCGACGTTTTCATATTAATATGAACATAAAACAGTAATCAAGTAAATTTTTAATTATGTGTATATATATATTTTAATATAATTGTGGTATGTATGTTTGTGTATTCCTTTCGTAGTATGTATTTATATATGTATCTATTTTTAATATTATTTATTATTTCAATATTTATATGTATATTAAATGTTTAAGTTATTTTGTTAATGTTAAGTACTTAAATGTTTTTCATAAATTGAAAATAACCATTTGTGAATTGAACACATTATTGCATGCTATAGCAGTTAACAGGCCATGTCCGTTACTTATGAGTAATTTCTTAATTACTTAATTGGCTTATTATGTTATCACCATGGTTAATAAGTATATTAATAACAACCAAATGGTTTAATAAATATTCCGATTTCAAAAATCGATTATCTCGAAGCGGTTCTTTTTTCTAGTGAAAAAAATATAAATCTTTAAACATCTAAAAACTTTTTAACGAAGTGTTAAAGTTCTATTCTCATGTAGGCACCCAAATTATTTATGCATCTTAAAAATGTCAAATGATCATCACAAATCATTGTATCAACACCTCAATATTGGATCCATGCAGTATAAAAACTAAATAACATCAAAAAACATGTAAACATTCAAAAAAAAATCTAGAAAAAAATCCACGCAGGCCAGGCTGCTCCAGTCTTCTGCCTGGTCCGCGTGGATTTTTTGCTGTTAATATTTTCTTTAGATTTAAACATCGAGCAGTTAAATGCTTAAAAAATAAAAAAATATAATGTAAACATCTACTTTTTTTTTTGTAAGGCGCAATTAAATGACCTTTCTCTTCCCAGGAACAATGAGAAGAGGAAGGAGAAGTCCCGCGTGGCGGCGCGCTGCAGACGCACCAAGGAGATGCAGATCTTCAATGAGCTGACAGCCGCCCTGCCTGCCAGGAAAGAGGAAGTGGAACAGCTGGACAAAGCATCTGTGATGCGACTGGCGATCTCTTACCTGCGCGTGCGAGATGTTGTGTCAAAGTGTGAGTATATAGGTAATTTTAAGCGCTCATTTACGAAGATGCAGATCTTCAATGAGCTGACAGCCGCCCTGCCTGCCAGGAAAGAGGAGGTGGAACAGCTGGACAAGGCATCCGTGATGCGACTGGCAATATCCTACCGCCGCGTGTGAGATGTTGTGTCAAAGTGGGAGTATATAGGTAATTTTAAGCGCTTATTTACTAAGATACAGATCTTCAATGAGCTGACAGCGGGGCTGCTCACCAGGAAAGAGGAAGTGGAACAGCTGGACAAGGCATCCGTGATGCGACTGGCAATATCCTACCGCCGCGTGTGAGATGTTGTGTCAAAGTGGGAGTATATAGGTAATTTTAAGCGCTTATTTACTAAGATACAGATCTTCAATGAGCTGACAGCGGGGCTGCTCACCAGGAAAGAGGAAGTGGAACAGCTGGACAAGGCATCCGTGATGCGACTGGCAATATCCTACCGCCGCGTGCGAGATGTTGTGTCAAAGTGGGAGTATATAGGTAATTTTAAGCGCTTATTTACTAAGATGAAGATTTTCAATGAGCTGACAGCCGCCCTACCTGCCAGGAAAGAGGAGGTGGAACAGCTGGACATGGCATCCGTGATGCGACTGGCGATCCTTTACCTGCGCATGCGAGAAAAAAAACACATGTATTTTAAGATAACCGTCGAAAGGGTAATTATGAAGATTTTTTTTTAAATAACATAGTATTTCAATGAAAGAATAATCATGACACGAAGTATGATTTTTCTTAAATAATTGAACACAAACTACAATAACAATCAAATACAATATCACTATAAGTATGTGAAGAGATTATTATAATCAATATAAAAACTTTATTATAAATAAGGAAAACTTGCATTATTAAGTGAGCAGGTACTACTTAGAAATGATAACATTAGCTGTTGGAAGCGCGGAAAAGTAAGAGGAAATTGTCCTAAACAAAATATTAATTACAAGATCTTCCTTTCATTTAAAATGTTATGTTATTTTCCTAAATAATAATTTAAGAAGAAGAAGGATAATTTTTTCCTAAAAATTATCCTTATGATTAACCCTTTCGATGGTTATCAAAAAATACGTCATGTGTTTTTTTGAAGTGAAAACTTCTTTAGCGGCGTTGTACACTTTTTTTTTGTTTGGGTAAAAAATGTTAAACTCGCGTCAGGTTAAACACGTGGGCTGATCGCATCATGACACAATAAAATTGGAAAGGTTGTTGACTTTCAATATATTGGAAGAAACATAGTAATATTTCATTTTATCGTATTATAATAATAAGTCTCTATCTAGGACGTCCACGTGGTAGCTTTATTGCGGAGAAAATGCATATTTTTTTTACAATAGATGTCGCTAGGTGCGCTTTAATGTAATTCATGTAAGTTGATTTCTTAACCATAGATGTCGCTAAGTGCGCTTAAACGTCATTCATGTTAGTTGATTTTTCTGAGAAATAAACTTTTTTAATGTATTAAAAATTGTCATGTTTGTGTGCGATAGCGCAATAAATAAATATTGTATTCTACCACATACATGATAGTTCTTTTATACATACTGATAATTAAAGCAATTCGTGCAAAATTATACCCTAACCATTCCAAAATATCAAAAATGCACAACGTTAATATTCAAGTTTTCACTTCTGCCGGCACTCCCGGAGTGCAACCCGTCGTATTTTTTTTTTATGTTTGCGAGTTTGATTTCCAGTTGTAGCAGGCAATTACAAAAAAGGCATTGCAGTTCTAGTTATCATTAAAAATAAAATGATGTCTTCTTTCAGTAAAATATCCTATCTTCAATAAATTAATATACTTTTCCTCCGTGTGAGAAACCCGTGGGACGCCCTGTATAATAGTATGGATAAGATTTTTCCTTAATGATAAAATGTAAATTCTGAATTTATTATATTATACACAAGGATCAATATCAATATCTATCATACAATAGGACATCGAAATCAATATAATTAGTGAACTTAGTACCGTTATCTAAATATCCGCATTAGGTACAAAACATCAACCTGATAATGTAAACAAAAACAGTAATTGAAAATATCGCTAAAACTTTTTAAATGTGTAAGGGCAATATGTGATGATAATTCTGTACATGAATTTGTTATAACCAAGATAATTATTGACCTCACCATGCCAGCAATAACAGTTGATAGAATAGGATGTACTGATAGTAATATATCTCGTTCGCGTTCATTTGCGTCAAATGAAATTGATATAATTTCTTTTTTTTTAAAGTTCATAGGTACATTATAAATTTTATTTTTTTAAGCATGTAACTGCTTGATGTTTAAATCTAAAGAAAATATAACTAGAAAAAAATCTACGTGGACCAGGCAGCAGATGGGACTCGAACCCGCACACTTTGCTATCCGGGCGAATACACTGACCAATTATGATACCGCCCTGATGGCCGCTTCGAAATTCTTTAAGCCATTCTTAAGCTGCAAGGCAGCGTCATCTTTTCGCATTGTAGGTAACCCGCAATGTCATATGAATACTTTTACAAGTATTAAACATTTGAAAGAAGAAATAGCAATTATAGTTATAATTTTTATTTTTTAAGCATGTAACTGCTTGATGTTTAATAAAGTTAAAGTTTAAAGTTCATACATTTTAAAGAATCGTGTTTGTTACTTCCATTCTATTGCATTTGCTTTTTTTGCATCAAAGATGGTTTAGTGGAATAATTAATTGTAATAAATAAAGTAAACAAAATATATGGATTGCTACGGGAAACTATGCATAAACTCTAAAATAATATTACTGTAACCACAAATAATGATTTGAAACGACCAATACTCATACTTATTGAGAGGAGCTCGATGGCGCAAGTGGTTAGCGCGTTCGGCTGCGATCGTTGAAGTTAAGCAACTTTCGCAGTGGTCGGTTATTGAATGGGTGACCAAAAATTTACTATCAAGCCGTTGGTCCCGGCTACATCTGCAGTCGTTAGCACCCACCAATCCGCACTGGGCCTGCGTGGTGGGTCATGGCCCAATCTCCCTATTCCATCCATAGGGGAGGGCCTGTGCCCCAGCAGTGGGGACATTAATAGGCTGATGATGAATACTGATTGAAGTCTGACCACGTATTAAGAAATCTGAAAAATCATTTTTTGTACTATTTTAAATTAGGTGATTGAAAAAAGCTAAACATAGAGCTTTACCTCTCTGCTTTGTAAAAAAAACATTTAAAAACCTTGTTTTGTATGACAAAACAGCTACTGCTGTACCAGTTTTTAGTGTTTGGCAAATAAATTCATGCAAATGATATGAAAACGTGTTCTCGAGACAAAGAGTTTAAACAACAAAGTGTTCCCAAATTAGATTTGTAAAGTGTACTCGTATCGTCTACATAAACGCGTAAATGATGTAAGAATCGTCTGTACCACGGCGAGTGTTCTGAGGAGTTATTCTGCCTTATCCCACCTTCTCCTTTCCTTCAGAGGACCACGCGCGCTGGCCTTCGTTGTCACCGTCTAACTGTGGCCACAATTCCAACGCGTACAAAGAAATTTGGTGACTCATTTCTTTGTCGCACTATCCGTAAATGGAATGCTCTGCCCGCTCACGTGTTCCCTCCCTCTTACAACCTGGGATCCTTTAAAAGAGGCGTGAAGAAGCAACATGCAGGCCGGCAGGGTGAGGATGGCTGGTGTGGCAGGTAGAACTGCTGTATCAGCTATCTTCACGTCTGGACTTCACCTTCACTTAACATCAGGTGGGGTGGAGTCATTTGTCGGACCGATCTATAAAACATAAAAAAAAAATGCGAAAGTATCGAGAAAACTATATTTGCTACAACTGCTTAGGAAGTTCTTTCTAAAATGACACCTTGTAATAGACAGTCCGACCGAATAAGTTCAGGACAGGGTCAAACCCGATACCTGCTAATACTCAATTTGCAAATTGATGCGTCAAACTTATTGCCCGGAATATTATATTGTGAAATTAAATTATACACATATTTATTTAATATTGTCTACACAATTTTGTTCTTTAATGATTACATACATACATTTATTTATTATTATTTAGAAAATTTTATTAACAAGTATTGCTAGGTAAATTAATAATGAAGTAAATGATGTTCGTGTATTGTGTTAGTGTGGGACTAGAGAATTACAATGCCAGCTTTGCAGCGTACCTACATCCTCGCGCTTCCTACGGGCAGTTGCTGAAAATCAGCATTTTGTCTATTAAGGCAAAAACACTGCTGAGCTTCTGCCTATTTGCATCACTGTAACTCACTAATGATTGTAGTTCATACTAGTTATTTAAGAACTGTTAAACTTATAATCATTTATCTCTGCTTATTATTAATTGTATTAATTTGTGATGCAAATAACTGAATTTATTATTATTAAATAAAACTAGTTTTTACGGGTTAATGCACGAAACTTTATTTATTTATTGACGTTTCGTAGCCTTTACAGACTACGTCGTCAGAATTAAACTTTTATTTAATTTGTCGAGCTACCTTCGAAAGATTTTTATTGAGCGTTCGGTTATTTCATTGTTCGATTTTTAAAGTTTTATAGTCTATGTATGAATTTATTATTTAATTTACTTAATAAAGTATTTTTATTTGAAATTCTTTTTTGTAATTTTGAGTTTATTTATTTGACCCTAACTACCGTAAACTACCACCGGTTCCAAAATTGGGAGACCTTTCTGAGAAGAACCGGCGAAACAAACTCAAGAAAAGTTTCGTGCATTAACCCGTAAAAACTAGTTTTATTTAATGAGTAATGTGCGTGAAAACCTAAGAAACAAATATTTATTATTATTATTATTAAATTATGTTCAATACTAGCAGATTACATTAAACAACATCCTCATTCTTCATTAGGCATTATTGGTATTCCATGAAGATTAGAATGACTTTTAATGAGTGATTCTGAAATGTGTGCTGTGCAACCCATAAAGTCTGACCACAGGTTTCCGATATAACTTGGCACGCGCAATAAACACCCGAGTTTGGATCTGAATGTAAATTAAACCACATTGTCGTCACTGTGTCGACTGATTGTTTTCCACGATGACATAATACATGACTGGAATTAATGGACTTTAATTCGTGTACTTATTTGTGTATTTCCACGCCTTCTGAGTATATCTGGGGTGATGCAAATTAATGCTACTGGCATGGTAACGATATCTCTGTCGTTAAGTTTCTAAATGACTTGGATTCTGATCAATAAGGGATGTTATCTTTCTATATATATAAAACTCAAAGGTGACTGACTGACATAGTGATCTATCAACGCACAGTCCAAACCACTGGACGGATCGGGCTGAAATTTGGCATGCAGGTAGATGTTATGACGTAGGCATCCGCTAAGAAAGGATTTTGATCAAATCTACCCCCAAGGGGATAAAATAGGGAATGCAAGTTTGTATGAAACTTTGTCAATTTTAAACCGATCGGGCTGAGACTTTGCATGCAGGTGTAAGAAGAATCATAGATGAATGTCATTGTCTACACTTCAGCTGTACACCGAAGAGGGGTATAAATTTCGCATTATTTAGGATTTAGAAATACGAATTATAGTATACTGTTTACACATGAAATTATGTTGGATTATCTTACAGTTTCGATAATTTCAGGTACAGATATAAAAATTCGAATCTTAGAGTATTATTTCAGATTTCCGATGGTCGGTTATGGATTCATTCATAACATTTAAAGTAACAAATACATCTAGGTTAACTTAACAGATTAATGTTACAATAAAATAATTTGTATTCAATACGAGAGATACTATACGAGTAAGTTCAGTGCCTTATTGAGGAAAACAATGTTAAAAATTGTAAGAAGAGTCTTATCAAAGCCTTATTTTCTCAGTAAGGTGGTATTCCTTTTTGTTTACATGTTTGTAGATTCCTTTCATATACAATCAAAAAGGTTTTTTCTGCTGTTTCCTAAAGAAAGAAGAAAATATTAAAAGTTATCTTTCCGGCTAATCCATAAGTATATTGTTTTAATCTCATGTAAACAGATAATTATTGGCCTTTTGTTAACAGTAAACAGAAGCAAGGCTACGACTTAAAAAAAATACACATTGAGTATTCAAGGTTTTGTGGCAATTCCGGGACAATGTCTGGTAGGATAAGATTGATCCGGCTAAACGATATTCCTGTGTTATCATTAGTAAGTGCAGACTTTTAAAGTTATATGATATTTCATGAGTCTACCAACTTACAAAAATAAATTACTCGTTGATGTGAAACAATCCTTCTGCGGAATGGCTACATATAATATTAATCATATGTACCAAGTTTTTAAGCTTTTAGACATAAGTAGTTTTAAGCTTTTGTAATTATAATTATAATATTATAATTTTGTAAATATAAATACATTAAACAAGTTAGCTCGCGTCATAGTAGTAACCTCTCTGACATGTTCTAAATGTAAATCAGAGTCCTAGAATAGAAACAAAATTGTCAATAGTAAAAATAACTAATATGTACCTATCTTGTTTGGCTTCAGTCTTTGGTAAGGTGATTTGTTAACAGACACTTATTAATTAACAGACTCTGAGGGACTTTTCCAATAATCGAACCAATATAATTGTAAAAGCTATGCACAGCGAATTTGTTTCACAGAATAGATAATCAACCCGAACGTAGATCGAACGTACGCAAGAGACAGGCAGTAGATATGTTCTACGAATTCATAGTTTCTTATTGCTATTTCAAGGGTGTTTCGCTTCGCTTCGGTGTAGACTACAGTTTTTGTTCTCAGGCTTGTATTATACACAATGAAATTCATCTATGATTCTTCTTATACCTGCATGCAAAGTCTCAGCCCGATCGGTTTAAAATTGACAAAGTTTTATACAAACTTTCATTTCCTATTTTATCCCCTTGGGGGTAGAATTGATCAAAATCCTTTCCGAGCGGATGCCTTCGTCATAACATCTACCTGCATGCCAAATTTCAGCCCGATCCGTCCAGTAGTTTGGGCTGTGCGTTGATAGATCACTATGTCAGTCAGTCAGTCAGTCACTTTTGAGTTTTATATGTATATAGATTAGGGATGTTTACATAAATAATGTCATCAGTACCAAATTGTAACTCATACTACCAAGAACTTAAATAGCTAATCCTTATCTTTATTTTGTTATAGAATCTTACCATCTTGCGTTGCGAATATTTCGATGTCTCCTCAATCATATAATTGTATGTGGACTAAATCAGGCCTACATATAAATTATTATGTTTACTCTTCCAGTGCCAATTGAAACGGTGGAACAACAGATACCCAATCCCAAAGGCTTGGAAGAGGTTTCCTCGGAGTTGTCCTACATGAAAGCCCTGGACGGCTTCGTCCTGGTGATCTCTCAGCAAGGAGACATCGTGTACTGCAGCGAGAACATTGCTGATCACCTCGGCGTTTCTCAGGTAAACTTTGTAAGACGCAATATAGAAATTGAACAGTTTACGTATATACATTTATTGTATACTAGCAAACCAGTGAACCAAATGTTCACCAAAAGCTGATTTAAAAAAAAATGTATTTAATTAATTGAGAACTTCGGAGATTTTGTGTGGTTTCGTTTGAAATTCGTGATTTCTCGAAAACCGGAAGTGCTACGTTACTCAAATCCGGTTTGTAGTCTTATCAGACTATTCTTAACTTATATATTCTCTATCTCTTACGGTTTGGCCGCTGAAACAGCACCACAGACGGACGGACGGACTTGTCTAATATGTCTTCGCATCGTTTTGCTACTGAAATAGCAACCGCCTCTGAGAGTTTTCATAAAATCTGCCGTATAATAATACTCCCAGTTTTATTTTCGTTACAGCAATAGACTCGCTAGAGAAAATGTCAACATCATTTGTAACTGCAATATAAGCAGATAATATCCGATAGATTGACGAATGCTGACCAAGGTTTGTCCGGCATGAAGGAAGTTGAAAAGTTAATTTTTTTTATTATTATTATTTTTTTTGTTTTTTTATTTATCACGGAGAGTAGTCGTACATCGCGACAAAAATTTCATCCCCATCATCTTGATGCGTGGCTATTCGTTATAACCGTGCGTTTTTGTCGAAATTTTTTACCACGTACGACAAAACTGTGGAATATATTGTCGCCAGCAGTGTTTCCGGACCAATACGACCCAAAAACCTTCAAAAAAAGAGCGCACTCCTTCCTTAAAGGCCGGCATCGCATTTGTGATACTCCTGGTGTTGCAAGTGTCCATGGGCGACGGTGATCACTTACCATCAGGTGAGCCGTCTGCTCTTATGCCCCCTATAACATAAAAAAAAGTTTTTCTATTGTATTTTATGTTTGGCCACTAAAAAATCGAATAGTAGGTAGTCCGGGCCAGATTTAGGAGATTAAATCCGGCCACGTGTTTGACAATGTTTACCCTAGAAGTAAACATTTCGTAATTAGCATATTTACTAGTAATAGTAATCCAAGTTAATAGAATTTTGAACGTAGTGTTGGGTAAATTATCATAACAAACTGTTAAGTGTATAAGTAGCATGTTGTGTACTTAAAATCTCTAATGCTTCATAAAACGTAGCGTTAGTGAAAAATAAAAAAATCAAGTGTGCTCATGACCACACGACAGAAGTGAAACCTCTTTAGCTCCATCTGTATACATATATACATGTATATATACGTATACAATATATACATGTATGTACATATACATATTTCATTTACTAGCTATAGGAGAAAGAAAGAAAATGTGCGCACTGCTTTCTTCTGCCTGTTCGCCTCGCCCGAACACACTTTTAGTAACGCGTAACGCATTCGCCAGATTACCCTCGAAGTCAAGCGTGCGTAAAGAAATATCACTTCAAACATTGTCGCACCATCCTTTAACTTGATTTGAAAATGAAAACTTTAATTATTGGCAAGAATATGGCTGATTTTATCTGGAGTGCAGATCACGAGATTTTTCTGGGTCAGTGCTCTGAAGGTGATCTATTTTCGGTTGGCGACAAAAACACTTGCGGAAAATTGCAAGGACTCGTTAAGTTCAGCGAGCGTCGCTAATTCTGATTCACGGAGAAAACTATCGTGTTGCAAGGTGGCGTTTATTGTTTGTAGGTAATTAAGATCAGTAATCATGAACTGATAAAATTTATAACTGATTAGACTCATATTTCAAGGAGCTTTTGTTATGGAACTAAATTACGTATTTGATGCATCGAAAGATACCTAAGTAAATATAATTCGCAGTAATTCCCATCATTACGCAAAATGCCACTTCGCATATTCGAATTTTGGTTCTTTGAAGTAGAAATATTGAGATGTTGCACCAAAAGATCTTCATTGTATATAAGGAAATCGTTTTCTTAAAGATTTATCCAATAGGGATCATCATCCCTAATTTTTAATTTTTTTTATTCGTTTATCAGGTAGATTATCAACAAGTATTGGACACGTATTTTTTGTTTTTTCACATATTATAAACATTGCAGAGATATATTGATTTGAAAAGTCGCATGACGTCACGAGCCTACTCCCAAACTTTGATACGCTGTAACTTTGTCATTTTTTGGTTGATTGCCCAAAGAAAAAATACGCGTCCATTATTTTTTGATCACCTATCTGACGGACTAAATAGCATTTCGTTTACTGTACCCCGTCATCACCCTTATTAAAGTGGCTAAAATCACGGTAAAAGAAAGTGTAGCCGTGTACACTAAACCTGGCGCCATTTCGTGGAAATAAAGTCATGACGTCTAGATGGCTGGCCCATCTCACTTTTGATTGTTGATATTATAGCAGTTACTAAATTTATTAGACTTGCAACGAATATTCGGTTACTATTCGGCCTATTCAGCTGCTTTTATTATATTCGGCCGAATAACGAATATCTACATATTATTCTACCGAATGCCGAATACTTAAATAATATAATTTGTCATAGAGAAATAATTGGTAAAATGAAAAATTAATATCTATTGATTACGTATTTACTCATATTTTCATTTCTGTTATATAATCATTAAAGTAGTCATTGGTACATAACACAGGTAGGTACATAATTTAATCATTTTCTGTAGTAAACAAGTTAACAGTTTTTAATTCATTCAGACATGTGTTGAACGGCTACATAATAGCAATAATTTAAAGTTTACGCGCCGTTTTTGGCCATATCTCAAAAGTTGGTATTGTCATTTAGCCGCATTTTAGCTTGAGGACGGCAGATTAGAAAAAAACAAAGGAGCGCGCAACAATCACGTCTGTACAAGTTTTTGGCGCTAAAATCCAGCCGAATACTTTTGCCTAATATTCGGCTACTCGGTCAGGGGCCTCGCCGAATATTCGGTATTCGGTATATTGCCGAATATACTATTCGTTGCAAGTCTAAAATTTATTGTTTTTTTTAAGTAGCCAATATTGGCAACACTGGTTCTCTGTGTCTTCGGCGTTCGGTTTTATTTTTATTTTTTTTATATATAGGTCCGACAAATGATTCCTCCCCACCTGATGTTAAATGACGGTAAAGTCCAGACGCGAAGATCGCTGATACAGCAGTTCTACCTGCCACACCAGCCATCCTCTCCCTGCCGGCCTGCATGTTGCTTCTTCACTGTTGTTGAATAAAGCAGAATGGAGAAGTATACGCAAAGCTGAACAACATAGATGGAGCTGCAAACGCTTGACCCAAACCACAGCCGAATATTGCAGCTGTCGAATTTTAAACGCATTTTTTTGTTGTAAAAAATGTATTCAACATGGTCTGTAATACAGCTGAAAACAGAGTTGTAAAGGAAAGTAGCTTCTGTGTAATTCAGAAAAGCTGATCTTGTAGAATTTTTGTTTGAATTGAATAGGGATGATGACTATTTTTTTTTTCTTCGTTAATCAGGTAGATTATCAAAAAGTATTGGACACGTATTTTTTCTTTTTTCACATAATATAAACATTGCAGAGATATATTGATTTGAAAACTCAGAAGTGACGTCACGAGCCCCTATTCCCAAACTTTGACGCGCTATAACTTTGTCATTTTTTGGTTGATCGCCCAAAGAACAAAATACGTGTCCATTATTTTTTGATCATCTAACTGACGGACTAAATAGAATTTCGTTTACTGTACCCCGTCATCACCCCTATTGTTTCTATTATTGTGCTAGAATGCTCATTCTCGGTACATAGATGCATTCATTTCCCATGATTATTTTAATAGTTCATGGATCTCAGTAACTTTTAGCGGGCTTATTAGTTAGTAAGTTAGGGCTATCTTATTTTTGTATCAGTCAGACATCTCATACAGTTACGTTACCTCTGGCTAAAATGGGAAGTATAATGACCTATGACCGCAATTTTAAGTTTGGTGCTATTTTTTCTGATCAAAATGAAGACATCCAGAACAGTTCTCAAAACAACTAGGAACTGCACAACGCGGCATTTGTAATTTGTTTAAAAAAAGCTTATAAATGAATATAAGCTAATAGGTATATTATTTGATAGAAGTTTTGGGTCAAGCGATTACAGCGCCCCTAGTGGCCAAATTTTGCAGATTTCTTGCCCATTAGTAAAAGGTTTTTATTTTATTTACTACATGGATATAAAACGTTACGTCACAATTCATCATATAGCTTGCGTTTTGCATATATCCGTGAACATTAAAGACCAATCAGTGCGGGGAAGACCTTATTTGAACATTTTATTATACCTAAGCTGCTTTTAAGATGTGAACTTTAAGATAACCGCTTTATAAGGATATTCTGGCTGCGTACTACATAAAGAGCCACTCTAATCCACAAGTTAATAATTTGTTGATAATGTGATTCATTGTTCTAAGCTTTAGATATGACATGGCCTTGGAAGATCTGTGGGTGATGAGGTTTTTTTGTAACTGTTTAGGCAAAGTTTATGTGTTTCACATGGTGTATGGCAAACGTTGGTACACATACTTTCTTATAGGAAGTTCTTTCTAACGGATAGTTAAGCGATGTTCTGGGAACTGCGAGCCTAATGCTTTCCTCATAGACATAGCTGAGAAATGCTTCGTGTCGTCGCGATCTAACTACTTAAGGAGACGGAACATATTATTTTAAATTAAAATGAGTTCTAAATTCTACTGTGAAGCGAAAGTGAAATAAGTATAATTATCATCATCTTCAGCCTTTTGATGTATTAGGATCAGTTATGCCAACGACTGAAGCACGGAGGAGTTTGAATTAATTTTTTGGTCACCTATCCAATAAGCGGCCATTGCGAAACGTTGCCACACTTCACGATTGCAGACCGAATACGGTACTGTAGTACTCTTTCTAGAAGGGATAAACCTGGCAGCGTAGCTTTGTTCAGCTCTAAATAATAACCACGAATTAATTATTGTTTCTTTTATTCAAACTGGGAGAGAATTACATAAAAAAAAAAATTAATCCAATTTCCAATAGGAAATTTTTGTTCCATC